TTTTTTCGGTTAATCCAAGTACTAATATTACAACATTATCATTTTATATGTTTCGGTCGTAACCGTTGTAAAAATATCCCGTTAAATTAAGTGATATTTTTATATTTATATAATTTTGAAAAAAATATTTAAAATAAGAAAAGCTTAAAATTATATATTTAAAAAAAACCCAAAATGTTCTCAAATCTTAAAAAAATCTAAAACTTTGACAACTATAATTTCAATCATTATGTCCACGCTGACCACCGTCAATTGTCGTTGTTGCCATCGATCGAACCTCCACCTGATGGCAAGACGAACTCAATCACTCATAACCCAAAAACTCATAGCGAAATTAGATACTAGGAAGTTTTAGGAGTTTGGAGTTTTGTTTGTTTTGATTTTTTTAATTTTAGAGAAATTAGAGTTTTTTAAAATATTAATCTTTTATTTAAATAAAATTTTCAAAATTATTTGAATATGACATGTGTCACTTAATAAACTTTTTTAACATATGTTATAGCAGAGACACTTAAAATGATAACGTTTGTAACTTTAGGCACCTAGATTGGCTGGAAAAAAAAGTTTAGGTACCTAAATGAGTAAAATGATATAGTTTGAATATTTTATTTTATTAAGCCTTTAAATTATTATATTTTATAGATTTTTTTATATTTTTATTAGTAATATTTCCTTTACCTCAAGAATAGGTGTGTAAATGAATCCGTTTGAAAGAACAAGTATGTGTTCATGTTCGTTTATTAATTTTTAAAGGTGTTTATGTTTGGTTAATGTTCTTTTAATTTTTTAATATAATATTTATGTTCGTTTTTTTTTGAAGATATTCATGTTCATTCGTTTAACGTTAATGAACATGTTCGTTTAACGCTTGCGAACATGTTCCTTTAAGGTTCGTTTATATGTTTGGGAACATGTTCATTTGCAAGCTAAAATGATAAAATTACGTTACTAGTGCTTAAACACTTTAAGCTTCATAGTTTAAACTCTAAATTTCACAATGTGTTCAATTTAATCCCTACATTTACCAATATTTAAAATGTAAAAAATGAAATAAAAAAGTAAACGAGTTTGTTAATAAACACAAACGAACGACCCGATAAACGAGCTTGTCCATGAACATAAACGAATGACCTGATAAACGAGCTTGTTCGTGAACATAAACGAATGACCTGATAAAGGAGCTTGTACGTGAACATAAATGAACGAACACATCGATATTCATGTTCGTTCGTTTATTAAATGAACATAATTTTTTTGTTCGTACTTGGTTATTTAGCTTAATAAATGAATGTTATACAAACTACAAATAATTCACCGAACGTTCTGTTCATTTACAACCCTACTCAAAAATTTTAAAAGTTATTCCCGTAAGATAAGATATTGCGTCTATCCATGATGATCACTCTAACATGCTATATCTTCTTTTTTTCCGGGTTCTTTTTGTCAAGGATCATGGTATGTCTCACGCCTATTTAATATGTTTATCTTACTTTTATATATACATTTTGCTTTTCCAGGTAATGCACATTGCAGCAGCAATGGAAATAAACACAAGATTAATACCTGACTTAAAGAATTTGCATTCTACTCTTCAATCAAAGGTTTTGCACATTCCCTTACTATATTAACTTATTATAAACTGAATTATTAACTTATTGTGTTGTTATTTATTTATTTTGGACAGTCTAATGAATTCAAGGATATTGTTAAAATTGGTCGCACTCACACTCAAGATGCCACACCTTTGACTCTTGGACAGAGTTTAGTGGCTATGTTACACAGGCAAGTTCTTCTTTTACCCTACTTTGGATTCGAATCTAATTCGATTTGTTCGGTTCAATCATTTTATTTCGAATTAAACTGAATTCAGATAAACATATTTAATATTAATGCATCTAATTTATACTCGATTTAATCTAATACATAGAAATATATTAATATTTATTTTGGGGTTGGATTGTAGGTAAAATATGGAATCGATAGAGTTTCCGGTACCCTGCCACGATTATATCAGGTTAGTCATTGTTTTTTCTTTTTTCGAATAGTCTAGAATGATTATAAAATAATATATTCATAATATATATAAACGAATGCTTGATATATGACAGCTTGCGCAAGGTGGTACCGCCGTAGGGACAGGATTGAATACAAAGAAAGGGTATGTTTTGTTATGTTTTAAGATCCGGTTGGACCCAACTACGTTAAATTAAAATTCGTGTATCATATTTTATATCGAATAAAATTTATACATAATTTTAAAAATATCACAACGCAAGAGTGTGTAATGGTAAGAACAATCTCAGGTTTGATGTAAAAATAGCTGCTGCAGTAGCTGAGGAAACAAAGTTGCCATTCGTTACAGCAGAAAATAAGTTCGAAGCTCTGGTTAAGTCTCTCAACTTCTTTTATTTTTTTAGAAAAAATCTTATCTGACGTATTTTTATATTCGACATTCACATTCAAAATCGAATAAACATCTTTTCAGGCTGCACATGACGCCATTGTTGAAGCTAGTGGAGCTTTGAATACTTTAGCTGCATCATTCATGAAGATTGCAAATGACATTCGTTTCCTGGGGAGGTTATTTTTTTTAATATTTTTCATAATTTTTTGGGACTAAAATAACATTTAACCCTATTTTTTTTAAAAAAAAATTTATTTTTGTTGTTTAGCAAAATTATTCTGATGGTTTCAACAATCTTAATCTTCCTTATCCAGTGGTCCTCGATGTGGGATTGGTGAGCTTATTCTTCCTGAAAATGAGCCTGGCAGCAGTATTATGCCTGTATAATTCTCATTTTATACATCGATTTATTAAAACGAATATGAATATGATATGATAGGCTACAAATAAAATAATTCATAAAATTTAATTTTCTTTTTTCAGGGAAAGGTGAATCCTACCCAATGTGAGGCCCTTACTATGGTATGTGGCCAGGTCATGGGCAACCATGTGGCTATCACAGTGGGTGGATCAAATGGTCACTTTGAACTCAACGTGTTCAAGCCATTGATGGCTAATGCACTCTTACATGTACGTTGTCGTTGTTGTTTTTTTCTCTCGTAATAATCCATTCTTATTTTCATGTATCCGACATACATGAATGTCGGATACTCGTCCGTACTTCGGATATTACTGCGAAAGAATTTGCGATTTAACAGCTTTTCTTTTCTTTTTATTGGTATCAGTCCATAAGGTTGCTGGGTGATGCAGCTGCTTCCTTTGAGAAGAACTGTGTGAAGGGAATTCAAGCTAACAAGGAAAGAATTTCGAAATTACTGCATGAGGTCTGTTTCCTTTTAATGTTAAACTTTGATTAGAGATGATAATAAGTAATGTGAATTCTGATAACATTTCGATTTGAATATTACGATGCAGTCTCTAATGCTTGTGACATCCTTGAATCCCGTAAGTTTTCGTATTCTTGTTGTTCATATCAAATAAGACTCTTTGTAATTCGAATCGAATTTCTAATCGGTTGTTGAATCTTTGTGTTTGTAGAAAATTGGGTACGATAATGCTGCAAAAGTTGCCAAGACAGCACACAAGAAGGCTGCTCCTTGAAGGAGGCGGCCACCACGAAGCTCGGTGTGCTGACACAAGAAGAATTTGAAAGTCTTGTGGTGCCTGAAAAAATGATCGGTCCATCTGATTGAACTCTTAGATTTCATTCGAACCCGTTTTTCTCAATCGGTCCATGTTCTGATTTAAGAAAATCGAATTGATCGAGTTTTTTATTGTTATTGTAATTTTTTTAAGTATTTTATGTACTAAGAGAATAATCTTTTAATCGATGAATAATGAAAATATCTATATTAGAAATCAATCCATTCTATAATTAATAGATGAAGAATTAAAACTTAAATACATGTTATTTTAACGTATATTATATAAGTCCAAATGACTCCTTTCCTAATTAAAAATAAATATTTAATAATAAAGACTTTATTTTCTATTTTCTATAAATGAATTTTATTTTTAATTTAATGCATCTAAAAGTTTACTTAAAAATACTTAAATATACACTAAATTAAAGTAATAAGCTTTAAGCATCTATAAATAATTATCTTTAAATTAAAAACAAAATATCTTATTAAAAATTCATTTATAATCAAGTCACAACATGACATGGTCCAAACAGTAAAAAAGTGCGCTAAAGGTATATATTTTCACAAAAATATAGGGCGTAAATGAATTGTGATTTAACATATAATGTTGTTTTTATATTCGTTTATTTATTTTTGAAGTATTCGTGCTTGATTCATTTAACGCTCGCGAACATAAATATATTCATCAACATGTTTGTGTAACGTTCGTCAACATATTCGTTTATATAATTTGAGTTCCCTTCTCAACTAACACTCTATTTTCATCCTTTTATTTGCAAGTCAAAAATAAATGTAAAATTATATCACTAGTCTTTATGTTCTTTAGGCTTAACGGTTTGAACTACAAAGTCCACCTTGTATTCAATTTAGTTTATACCTTCATCAATATTTAAAATGTAAAAAAAAATGAAATGAAAAAAAATAACCGAGTAAACGAGCTTAAATGAGTTCATAAAAGAGCTTATAAAAGAGTCAATTAATAAGTTTGTTCGTGAATATAAATGAACCCAACATACATATGTTCGTGTTCATTCGTTTACTAAATAAACATAAAAATTTTGTTTATACTCATTTATTTAACTACATAAACGAACGTTATACGAACGATTCACAAACAGTTCATCAAATGTTCCGTTCAATTACACCCGTACGAAAGCATAACATAATCTAAATACACACGAACAACACCAAGCCAAAAAAAAAAACAAACGAACAACAACAAGCCAAACCGATCAACAAAGGGACCAGAAAAAAAAAACACAATGAAACAAAGATAAATAGCAAATTATAATAGTAATTCAAGATAATAAAATATCCGTTCCTTCCTTATTATATGTCATGCAGTACGTTGATGAGTACATATATAGTTTCTTTTCTATTACAACACAAATGAAAGTTGACTTGGAAGGATTTCATACAAATGAAGCATTTATTTTAGTAAGGTTTTTGACCGATAAAATTGCCTGGAGGAGCATAGTTGCAACCGATGAAAGTTCCGCCATTGTTGCACCTCACCTTAGCACAACCGAGGCGAACAGAGTCACGCCAAACCACTTGAGTGTAATGCCCGCAGACCTTTTCCGGTGCACAACTGTTGGAATTGTAATCGTAGTCGGCCCTCTCATCAACCCACAATCGTACAGCATCGGTGCCAGAGAGGTCGACACTACTCCCAGCTAGGTTCTCACCGTATTGTCCACCGCCACCGGAGTGCACAAGGTTGCAATCGGCGATGCGTTGATTAGCATAGTCCCGTGCAAAGCCAGCAACGGTCTCATCCCAAGTCATAGGACCGACATTGACGGCGGATCGAGCCTCGTTGTGAGCGTTGAGGTAGTCTTGTGGTGAGTCTTGGGCATGGGAGGGAAGTATCAAGGTAAAGGCGAAGAGGCAAGTAAGAGCTAAGGAAGAAAACTCCATATGTTTGATTGGATAAGAATAATTGCAATGTAAATATGTTTATGGGATGATTTTTATGCATCTTTGAGGGATGTATTTATAGACATTATTAGTTTGGCAGCTGAATGTTCAAACTATACAACTACTTGTCAAGAATTGTTTTGTGAATTTTCTATAGAATAAAACCAAAGAATTTTAGAGTTGTAGCTTCGAAGTAATTCATAATTTACCAAAATAATAATAATAAGGGTAAAGTACACAAATGGTCCTCCAACTATAGAGTGTTGTTTTATTGAGTCCCCTGACTATTAAAAATTACGAAATGGTCCTTTGACTATAAGGTATTGTTTTGTTGAGTCCCCTGAATATTAAAAGTTATAAAATGATTGTCCAACTATTCATATGTTCTAAACTCGTCCCTTACATTTAAAAAATTGACGGTGATATGACCTGAATGTTAACCTACTGACCGGGATATGATAAATTTTGATCTCAGAATCTCAAACGACTATCATATCTTAGTCAGCATGTTAACGTCCGACTCAAATGACCGCCAATTTTTTAACGAAAAATGATGAGTTTGGAACATACGAATAGTCGGTGACCATTTTATAACTTTTAATAGTCGAAGACTCAACAAAACAACACACTATAATCGGGAGATCATTTACGTACTTTACCCTAATAACAATAAAACTCATATTTGCAATATATATATATATATATGTGTGTGTGTGTGTTCTTGATAAATGAAAAAGAGAAAAGAAGAAGAATAAAAAAGTATTGGAAGAAATATAAAGAAATGAAAAGAGTCGAGATTGACCCTCAAGACACCATCGTCGTCAATCGACTAAATTTATTACCTTTAACTAATAAAATAAGTTTACAATTAAGCCAATATGATATGAGTTTATCTCTTAAGATTTCAAGATACTTTCTCTTTCAAAAATACATTTTACCATATATACAATTAAATAAATATATATATATATATATATATATATATATATATATATATATATATATGTTCCACTTTAAATGGATTTATGATTGTGGATGCTCAATGTGTTAATGAAATACACACTTAGATAAAAAAACTAATTCACAGAAACATTTTGTCAAACAGTTGGTGTGCGTACAGAAACATCAATATTTCAATTAAAACTAATCCTGATCAAATGCTAAATCCATAAATTTGATTCATTAAATTCGAAAAAACATAATTCCTAATCAGAATATAAATCAAAATAGATCAAACACTCAAATTTTGAACAAAAAATTCAAGAACAGTAAACACATCAAGTGAAGTCTTTTTCACTAAAAAAACCACATAGGAAAGTCAACATACCAGTACCAGAGATAGATTGATGGAAGATTACACCTGCAAAGGCCGAGCATATGATATTGATATCAAGCAGTACAAGTTCCCAAGTTGCAATAGCAAGAGCTAAGAGGCCAGAGGGCTAGAGTTCGAAAGTAGTAGGTTTAGTATTTTGGACTTTAAACTAAATTGAAACGAAATAGACAAGGTCCGTTTTATAGCCTTTTTTGTTACTGTTTAGAAGTAAAACAGTTTGCACATTTTATTTGATGAATGAAATTCAATGACTGCAGTTGGGATTTTATGTTCTTTACGCCCCCTCAATACATGTTGTCCTGGGCTAAGGCCCAGGTGGCACAGGTATTGGGGCCAGCCTTGGAGATGAGCTAAAGAAGGTGATAGAGGGAGAGTCCAAGAGAGTCTCCTTTCTTCCAACCATATATGGTGATATATATACATATTCTTAGTGTTGGTGGCAAGCTTAGGGTGATGATGATTATTTATAGATTGAAATGACAAATAAATTTGAGTGCTAGATAAAAGATTTAGATCTAATAAATCACGAGTCTCCAGTGATCATGTCATATGATCGTAACTGGTCGGAGAATTAAAATTTTAAAAGTTTCGAAGAATTCCAGAAAAATGACTACAAAGATATGACTCGAGAAAAAGATTAGAAAGAGATACAACATTTATTAAGAAAAGTAATATCGATCCATTGCTGAAACATAATTTTAGCTATCTCTATAATAAAAGCTCGGCCTGATAAAGCTAAAGGATTTTGGGTTCAATAAGTTATATCAAATTTATAATATTTAAGGGAAAAGATTATTGGTAAGGGGAATTTTGACGTCTGTTTTGAGAATTCTACTTCTTCCTTATTTCTCTTCTTGCATTTCTTTTCTGTAATTACTTTGGATCTTGTTGGTATAGCGATCGTCTTTCGGTTGGGCCCGAAATTGAGCTTCGACTTGAACAAATGGATTAGGAGTCGCCACCGATCATTTATTTTAAAAAAAATGGGTTGATCAGATACCTTATTTCTTACCGGATCTGCGTCTTACCAAAGATGTGTCGGATTCGGGAGTCAATTACAGGCAAAGAAGGGTTAGCACCCTTGAACTGCCCTTTCGGTACTACGTAATTTCCATTTGTCTTTAGTTAAGAAAATTGTAATTTAAATTAAAATGTACATATGATCCAAATTATTTACTAATTAGTTATCTAATCATTAATCATACTTAGCTCAAACATGCCTAATTTAAATATGTATCAACATTATCAAATTTTAACTGAGGCCAAAGGAGTTATAATTATCAAATTTCCAAATTTTTCTTAAGTTAATTATAAGAATAAGAGTGTCTAGGTGTCAAATTAATCGGTTAACAAGATTAAAAATATTAATAAAAGAATTACAATAAACAAAATTAATGCATTGACAACCAAACTATGGAGATGGAATTCAACACGTTAATCAACCTAAATCTAGCACATTGATTCACAGTTCACTAACCACGAGATAAAAAATTATTAAGTCATGCCACATTCCAAGCAAGGAAATCGGGATGCTCAATGCACTTTTCACACCAAGTTTGATTCAATTGAAGAAAATTAATAATTTGATGACACAAATTCATCTTGCTAAGAAGTCAGATACATGGAATTCAATGGTGATCAGCAAATCCAGGGATTAAATAGCATTAAGCGCTATATTACACGGCAACATGACATTAATTAAGTCTAATTACGAGACCAAATTGAATTCATTCTAAAAACGGAAGGATCTGGCACATTGTTTCCCAGAAAAAGAAAACAACACGCGGGTTAAAAGACTCTAAGGGGGTGTTTGGTTGGCCGGGAATATCATTCCCGGTAATATTTTATTACCAATAGTAGATTTTTTGGGGTATATTACCGGGAATGTCATTACCTCCCTTCCCTTAGGTATTGTAACATTACCAGCGTTTTGGACTAAAATGCCCTTAAATTTTTATTTTTTTTCAAAAATATCATTCTTCTGTCATTGAATAATAAAAATTCTACGAAGGTTAAATTACAAATTTATCCTTAAATTATTTTAGATTTACAAAAAAAAGTCTATAATTAAAAGTTTATATGAAGTTCAGGGGTTAAATTTTTTTTACCCTTTCATTAAACCTTTTTTATATTTTTTATTTTGTAAAAAAAAAGTATATAAATATTATGAATTTATTTTTTTAAAGAAAATATAAATTTTACAATTTGTAATATTATAAAATATAATAAGGACAATTTGGTCAAATATGCATTCCAACAATCTTTTATTCCTTTAACCAAACACAGTAATCTTACATTCCTGCTAAACCAACCAAACACAAAATACATTCCCATTAATCCTATTCCCTGGTAATCTTTTATTCCCTCTGGTAATCTTACATTCCGTGAACCAAACGCACCCTAAATGAATCGGGTAACATCTAAATGGGTTTATTATAAGTTATTTTAAAACCCAATTTCACTTTTGTCTAATTTCTAAGATTTCAGCTATCTCCCCCCTTTCAAATGCTTTGGTATTTTCAGTTGGGTTGCTTTCTAATTGTTGTAGCGAGCCTGTTACAAACAAAAAAAATGACATATAAATATGAAATATTTATAATAATTTTATATATTATATAATATAATGAATTTAAATCAAATGAAATTTGGTGTCTTCAGCTGCCCTCTTTGTCTTTTTTCGTGGAACGAAAAAATAGGACAAAGATAAAAAGACACAAATTTTCGTTCAGTGGAGTAAAAAATTAATTTCAATTAAGAATAACTCCATGTCGAATTATGTTTGGGAGGACTCATTCATCGCGAAGTAGAGTCCACCTTGAGATGATATGAGACTGAGGCCGTAATTCAGTATCGAAATGTGGCTTCTCGTTGCCAAATTGTAGTCAACTGCAGTCTTCTTCTCGGTTTAAAGACCTGGTTTGAAAATTCGACTGGAAAATAATTCTTGACTTCACCAAGTGGTTGATAGGCACTCAAGTGAATAGATCGAACTCGAAAGGTCTTCGTGACAGATAGCTTTTCTCGACTTAAGTTATACTGCAACCGATGTGCCTTGAGCTGAGCGTAATGACTTGAAGGTTTTGTGTTTCAAGAGAAACATTTCAAAGGTTTTTGTGTTTCAAGAGAAACTGTCTCGAGAGAGATGAAATTGTTTAATGGAAAACAGATTCAAATATTTTGTTTCAAGGGAAACTGTCTCAAGAGAGACAAAATTTAGTTCTAAAAGAAACTATCTCAAGAGAGACGAATTTGTTTCAAGGAAAACAGATTCAGAGATTTTGTTTCAAGAGAAACTGTCTCAGAGAGACAAAATTTGTTTTACGAGAAATGTCTCAAGAGAGACAAAAATAGAAAATGTCTCAAGAGAGGCGACATTTGTTCAAGGAAACAGATTCAGAGATTGTTTCAAGAGAAACGGTCTCAAGAGAGAAAATTTGTTTACGAGAAAATGTCTCAAGAGAGACAAAATTTAGTCTAAAAGAAACTGTCTCAAGAGAAACAAAATTTGTTTAAAGGAAAATAGATTCAAAGATTTTGTTTCAAGGGAAACTGTCTCGAGAGAAAACAATTTGTTTTAAGAGAAGTCGTCTCGAGAGAGACAAATTTATTTTAAGAGAACTATCTCAAGAGAGACAACACTTTATTTTGGTAAATTAGTCTTAAGCGAGACGACCCCTTGTTTCGAGAGAAACAATCTCAAAGGTGATCG